GGGGCGGGGCCGGGCAGCGGGGGCGACCAGGCGGAAGCGGCCAGGCGGAAGCGGAAGTTGCCGGGCCTGGCGGGCGGAGAGAGGAGTGAGTCGTGGCGCGTGCGCACTGAGTGCTTCCCGGGGGGAAAAGGGAAGGGGAAGGGTGCCGCTGGGTCGGTCGCTCGGGTCCCGGTCCCTGATTGAGGGGGTGGGCATAGCCCTGCCCTGCCCGGTCTCCGGGGAGCTCTGGCCGGTCTGGGGCCTAAGGGCGTTGCTGGGCGCGGTGCAGGGCTCGGCTTCAGAGGCCGGGCTGGGGCCCGGGCTCCAAGGCACCCCTCGACCGACCCGGTGCCCGGGTTGTGTTGGGTGGGCCAGTGTGGGGCCCCCGGTCCGGGCGGGTGCTTGGGTGGCCTGAGCAATTCTCCGGCATCAGGTGTGGCTGCTAGGCCTTGAACTGGGGAGGGTGCAGGCACGGGTGGTAGTAAGTTGCGTGTCTGGAAGTACGACGCAGTCAGTTTTAAAAAGACGTTGCGAAGCTGTTACCTTGTCTCTTACCTTGTCTCTTACCTGGCAAGAAATTTGAATTGAAGCCAGAGATTAGCAACAGGTGGCGTTTGCTACCGAAGGAAGTTCAGCTCACTAGAAATGATGCACAACAGGGTCAGTGTTGGTTTGTGTTCTGTCCCTTTGACAGTAACGTCCTACTCCCACTAATAGGAGCTCTGTTTGTGTACAGCTGATTCACTAGGAGTTACTTGCTTAACTGAGAGCAAAACTGCGGCTGTAATCTTGGTAATAAAATAGTGGCAACGTTTTGCAGTGATACCAAAATCTACAAGCAATGTCCAGTACTGTGACTGCAAACTGTTCCATTCATATCGTGATAGCATGCTATAAAAGATCAGTGCTTTCCTTCTGTTTTTAATTTGCATAAAAATTTGTGAATAGTGTAATCAATTTTGCATTCTCTCCTGTAATAAACTTTGAATTTTTTTTACTAACTTACTGTTTTATGTTGTCCATATACAAAACGAGAGTATTGGAGTGTGACCTGGTTGTAGCATAAAGTAAAATGGTGGTATATCGAAAATGCTTTAAAATTCGACTCAGACCACAATAAAAATAAGAATATTTCACTGTTGGTGCTCCGGTGGAATTAGTAACCCTTAGAGAAATCTTGTGCTTTTCCTTTCCTTTCTGGAGAGTTAAAGCATGTTAAGTATAAACGTGATAACAGTTGATATGCTGTTGTTGTGCCTCTTCCCTTAAAATGGAGGGAAAAACTTACTGATGTCCTGTAGCAGCCTCTAGTGGCGATCGGCAATGTTTACATGTGCCTTGAAGTTGTTCAGATGTAGTTCAAACACTAAATTCTATCTTTCTTTTAAGAGACTGATTTCTGCCGACTTCTGTGTGCGGTTGCAGGAAGGACTAACTTTTTTTCCCTCTTCCTCACCTAAAATAATGTAAAAGTATTCCTCTATTTGTTTGAGTTTATGAAACTAACTTAAATATTTACAGTTGTCACTCAGTTGCTCCAAAATAATTTATGGTTAGCTGGGCTAAAGTTAATACAGCTGAAATGTGTATTCCAGAGCTGAAGAATGTAGGTAGAAAAGTTTGGTTTTAACAATATGCTTCAAAACAGTTTCTTATGTGGTATACCGAACGGATATTGTTTTGAGAGACCTGAGAAGAAAACCTGGTAAGGAAAGCATAGCGCTTTGGAGGATGTGTGAGGTGGAAAAAGATGTGTAAGTTCTGGAAACAAAGCATTATATAGGTCTACTAGAGACAGCTACAAATTATTTTTCTCTTCATTTATTTGCTAGTCATTCTGAGAAAGGCAGATTGTTCATCAAGCTGTGTTGTTTCTTACTGGAATTAATGTTTCCTTCTAACTTTTGAAGGACTCGAGTTCTATATCTGAAGAACAACATACCTAAATACATCTCAGCTTGATTTCTAAAAATGGTCTGACAAGCTAAGTATCCAAAATACAAGAGGCTTGTAGAAAAAAAAATCTTCAGAGTTTTTTGGAGGTGGTGTTGTATAAATAATTTCTTCCATCTATGCGTGTTTTTTCATGAACTTTTAAACTTGCAGTTCTTGAGATGGAAATAAGTAGGGAAAAAAAAATCAGTCTTTGCTTTTACTGTGTTGATTTTGGTAGAAGTGTTAAATCTTGAGTTAATGCTTCAAAGTTTAATGAACTTAAACATATGACCAGTTTCAGGTTCCCTCTATGCTGTTTGGTGGGGTCGTATGTGTGTAAAGTATGGTTTCTTTCCATGCTACTCTAGTACAGTGTCAACTGCTCTCACAATGAGTGAACGCACAGTTTAAGTCAAGCTATAAGGGGTTTTCTGTTTCAGCTTCTACAGACAGGGTTGATTTCATTTAAAAAAAAATGTGCTGAATACTTGGAATGTATGAATTAACGTGTCCTAGTGAGTCCTACAGTGAAGTAGGGTAGCTTTGTTTCGTCTGATTGGATTCCCAATCAAGACAGCAAACAAAGTAATGGAGGCAAATCTGAAACAAATCTGATTTCTACTTTAAAATAATGCAGATCTGTGAGTTCTGCCAACTCTTGCTTAACTCTTCTTCTAAAACTGAGCTACCTGAAAGAATCTTTGTCTATGTATGTTTATTTAAGACTAACTTTTACTCCCTTTCAAAAGAAACTTTATGGAAGTTACAATTTTTATGTTTATCTTCAGACCTTAAAAATAGAATGTTAGTGCTTTGTAAACTCTAACCTCAAAAATATTTTGATATTCTGCAGGAGCTGAGTAATGCACATGTTGAGATTCATAATGTTAGTAGTTTGTGCTTACAGACCTCTGCCATTTCTCTGAAACTGTATCAGTTTTAAGGGCACGTTTTTTAATGAGAATAGATTGTATCAGTAGTGAACAGTTACTTGTGTGTTAAGTACAGACATAGCTTTACCCAGAGAAACTGACTTTAGAAAGTGTTTCTTAAATTGGGATTTGAAGTAAAAGCAGTACAGCAGTGTGAAGGGGCTCTTGGAAATGTTTTCAGCCTCAGCAAAAATGTGATAATGTCCCATGAAGTCAGATGAGGACCTGAGTTAAACAAAACAAAGCCCCCAAATCCCTTTGAATCAAAGTTTGGCTGTGTTTTTCTACCTCTAAAAGTGTTGTTTTGAAGCATTATGGTGAACAGTGGATATTTGGATGCCTACCATCAAAAATACAGTGAGCAAACACACTCGGAGCCTAAGGAGTGATTTAGAAAACTTGTTCAAGCTTCATGATGTGTGTATTATGTTTTTGTGAGAATGAATAGATAGGAAAAATGCTGTTACAGTTGAGTGAGGAGACATAATTTGGGAGTAAAAGATATGACCTTTTATGACACCACAAACACTAAAGTATTGAATTGCTTGGGCTTTGTTCTCCCTAGTCTGGACGATGGAGTGCGTTGTCTGGAAGTGTAGGCTGCACAGCAAGCTGCTCTAGAGGGTTAACAGACCACTCTAAGATGGTATGCCTTAGCATGCTGCACCATGGTGAAGGACAGTGTAGATGGGGAAGGGAAACAGTACCCTGAAGTGAAGTATGAAAATGATCATTATAAAGTCATTCTTGAGTTCTGAGGTCTAAAGGTACTAAATTCAAATGGAAAGCTGTTTTGGCCTGAATTTAAGTGTCTTGTATTGAAGCTTTGTGGAGGTCAAGACAATTAAGGCTTGATGTTGAAAATATCTTATTTATTCCTATCACTGCAGAAGCATGGGCCAGCTTGCGGAGATGTTGCTGTGCTGATTCCATGCTGCTGCTCTGTGCTTTTGAGGGTTGCCTGCTTCACCTTACTCCTCTTCAATTTAGTATTTGCACAGTTTTGCAAAAAAACCCCTTATATTTTCCTTATACTGCCTGCTGTTCTTCAGTCATGTTCAAATATAAGGGGAAATGGGATAAGAGAGATTTGAGATGGCCTGTGGAGGAGGTCATGCAATAAACTATGGTGTTAATAAAAGGAATACAACTAGTTTGAGATGCAGGCTTTGGAGAACAAAGTAGGAGTCTGAGTTCATGCTTTGAACATGCTGAGTTAGCACTGTTGCTGGGAGGAGATGCAGTTGGCAGATGGTGCCAACACAGAGGTTTGTATTGGGAATTAGATTGGGGAACTAAACTACAGCAAAGTTATCTTTACTCTTCCTTCCCTTTTTTTTCTTGAGGTTATTTTCAGTTGAATTCATTCTCCAGTCTGCTTGACTATACAGTTGTACAGATGGCTGTGCCAGCCCAAGGAAGAGGTTTGACATGGGAATAAGTGGGCAGGAGCAGAGAAGGACAGGACAACTCTCTGCAGCTGTACTGGCTTTGTTTTCCTTGCAGTATTTGTGACTGTGAAGGCCTCAAACATGCTTTTACTTACAAGCAAGTTTCTGCAGATGGTAGGGTACAGGTGAATAACTGCTACACAGAAGTGAATAATAGACTTTTTCTGTCGTCTCAAAACTAGCTGGTTGTGTCCTTCCTGAGAGCAGATACTGAGATAGGTAGACTTTGCCTTCGTGTTCTTGACATGAAACTGTATTTAATGTCTGTCTCATAATAGTAATTTTCATCTCTTTGGTATCTGTGTTGTATCGC